CCCACAGACGTGCTGCAGGGACGCTGAACTCCCTGAGACCCACAAACCACAGACTGAACCAGCTCCAGCCTCGACTACACACAGGTAAGATCTGTGGCACTTTTATCTTTAATTCATATTTAATTCTGTTTTTTAATCCAGTGTGTACAGTAACTGTGCAGTAATGTAGATTAGTGACTTAAACAGCTGTAAATGTGTAAAGATTCTATTGAGGAACAGATTTAATAGATAAAATAATAAAGCCCAACAGGAGTAGCCAATCAGAACAGAGCTCATTTGGAATCAGAATCAGATTTATTGGCCAAGTATGTTGACACACATAAGGAATTTGGTCCCAGCCGCTGCCGTCTCTCTGGTGTAATATGCACTATACAGACAATGTGCATATAATTTACAAACAATACACAATATACACAGTAAACATGCAATATGCAGACTATAAAAGGACAAGTAATATACAATATACATACCATTTACAGACAATATATAAGCACCATACAGATTATATAGGGACAAGCAATTATATCTACATATTTACATTTCACTGCTGTCGGAACAAAACCTTGTATCTCCAAAATGGTAACTTTACAGGAGAAGGAAAAAACTTACTTTATTTTTAATGTAAGTCAATGGAACCAGAATTTTTTCCAAGTATTTTTGGGCTGTTTGTTTTGGTTAATTTATCTTGCAATTTACATACAATGTAAAGGACAACATGCATTTTTAAATTATGTCAAAAACTGAAAATGACAAAAATGGAGATTTGGGGTTTTGTTCTGTTTTTGGCCCTTAGAGCCACAGAAATGTTATAAGTGGTCAGAGGAAATTAAAATATGAGAATATTTTGAAAAATTTAGAAAATTGAGCCTTTAACTTTTATAAAACTGAAAACTAAAAACTAAATCCAAAGCTGCTGACAACTACTCAAAACAGACACTTATGAGAGCCTCGAAACAGCTGAGTTCTGTATTAATGCACTAAATATCATCATCCTCTTAACAAACCTGTGAGGCGCCAGAATGTAACTGTTGTTTTATTTAAGGTGGAACTAAAATGACTATAAGAACTCAAACTCAGCTTCATCATATGGAGTACTGACTGTACTGATAGATGAAGTAGGTATTGAAATGTATTCATACTGCATTCCTTCTGTGTTTAACTCAGTATCTTTCTAGGTTTCAGCTCTGGCTTTTGTTTTCTGGCAGTGTTTGAGCTGAAGGGCAGTTTGGACTCGTAGCTAGGATTCATTCTCTGGGTCGACAACAACAGGTGTGTAGCGCTTTTCATACACGGTGACAATTCAAAGTGCTTCACACAAACACAGAACAATAAACCATTAAAAATATTATATAATACAGTTTATGACATTCTGAGATCCAGCACCTCAGAAAAGCTTTTGCAAAGATAGTTACAAAAACATAATTAAAAGAAAGTACAAATTAAGCAGAAAAAAAAACATAAAAGGGAATTTAAAACAAAGGACTGGAGTGTTATCAAAGTGAACAGACACATGAAAAAATGATTTTGAATTTTTTGAATTGAAGTATTTACTGAATGATTCACTGTAAAATTTCAGAAAACTAAAAAATGTCACTTAATTGTCTCACAAGCTTTTGTGTTTTAATCTGATCTGCTTTAAGCAGCATTAAACTCAGACTGTAAGGCTTGTTTACTGTGATTATTATTAATGATATCTTTTATTATTTATTATTTATTGGAGTGTCTATTTTATCATGCATGTTTTCTAAAAGCAGTAAGACGTTGCAGGTGTGTGTGTGTTACAGTGCTTTTAACACAGTCAGGAGGTTTAGAAAATTAAATCACTGTAAAGCATCTCCAACTGCTTTATTAATATTTTACTGTTATATAACTCTCTCTCTCCATCTGACCAGGCAGATTTTAGTGACCGAGGATTGTGATCAGAAATGGAGGTCAAAAATCACTGTGAGGAAAATCAGGTGAGGCTCTAATATTCATCACACTTTACGCCTTTAATCTTATCAGAATCTTATCAAAGCTCTTATCAGAAATTACTACTCACTACATCAAATGCTGAAATGTTTAATAAAGCTGTAAAGCGAGTTTCTAGTCTTTCCCTTTAAAAAGACACTAAACCTGTCTGAGTAAATATGTCATTATGGGTTTTCACTGTACTAAACTCACTCTGTCCTGGACTGATAATAAATATATTTATGGGAGTTTCTGCGACTACTGGAACTTTTTAGTTTTGGATCTATGTTTACATTTTTAATCACTAGAAAATATAAGTGTCATAACATGTTTAAATATAGAGTATATAGAATTGTTGTGGATGAAATGTGTTCTGTCATTTCTGAGGAATATTGTGGGTCAAAATACCAGTTATACTGATTTTAATCTTCAGGATTACAAAGTCTTTTCAATTAATCTGCACTGGATAAATGTTACATCAAAATACATTAAAATCAATGCTGTTATTGACCAATATTTTTTTCTAAAATATATTTGTCCAATGTTTACATGTTCTTAATTTCTTTATATGTCTGAACTACATTTATATGTCCTTACTACATCTAATCTAGGAATCTTTGGATTCACAGAAAAGTAAAGTTAAAAAATGAAAATTAAAAAATGAGTGGCATAAGTAATCACGTTAATGCAGTGACAGTCTAAATAATGAAAACTGTGCTGTAGTGTGTTAATGAGTGCTAAACTGAGCTGTGGAACAGTGTGTGTGTGAGTCCTGTGCTGAAGTGTGTGTTCTCGGTTCTGTAGCTGAAGAACGGAGTGCAGAACGGGGTTCTGGAGAAAAAACCCACAGCTAAACCTGATCACAGTGGATGGAACCAGATCTGTAAGAGTGTTCAGTGTTTATTTAACTTCAGCAGGACAAACTTGTTTATAGTGCAGTTTAATCAGGTTGCTGTTGATAATTTACAGAATATTTTATGATTATCAATTTAATGAATGGAATTTTTTTTGTTAAAAAATCTGGATAAAAAGGCCTCAATCACAGATATTTTAAAAAACTTCTCAGCTGTCAAAAAAATCCTCACCACACTGACATCTTTTATGAAAATCTCTCTGTTCATTGGAGAAATTAAATTCTCAGAGTAGACAGCGTTCCAGTCCAGCAGGAAAAACCACTACACACAGAGCAAGACCGGATTCAAAAACTGATTTCTGCTAGAAAACAAAAGCTTAGAGAGGCGAGATAAAGCTAGCACTTACTGTGGGGTTATTTACGTTGCCATGGCTACAACACCATCTCTGAAACATCCCCTCAGTCCTGATCGGGCAGAGAAACTGAGTTTGCACTACATCTGAATTGTGAACTGAACAGTAATCTGATCTAAATGACCATCGAGTCACATCTGTATAGAATGACTGAGGTATTTTTAATAATTATTAATATTTGCAGTTGAATTGGTGCCTCATTTAGAAGAACTGATGCCAGCGTCCTCAAAAACCTGTGATTTGCTTTTACACATGAAAACCCTGGAAAACCCTAGACAATTTAAGATAATCTCAGTTTTTAGTGTTTGTAAAAGCTGCTGAGACAAAACACAGATAAAAAAAAACTAAATTTTCAAAAATATCCACAGATTTGTGGACGGGACGTTCACCTTTTTAATGCCTCAAACAGGGGCGCCCAACTCAGCACAGTTTGACAATTTACTTGATCAAACATACCTTAACACCTCAACTCACCTGCTGTTCGTAATTGTCAGGTTTAGTGGGTGTGTTTGACTGTGCTGGACGTGGCCCCCCCCAGGAGTGGAGCACTGCAGCCCTGACCTAAAACATCATTTCTTGTGTGTGTGTGTGTGTGTGTGTGTGTGTGTGTGTGTGTGTGTGTGTGTTAGACCTGTTCCTGCTGTGTGTGCTGTTGGGGGGTGCTCTCATGATGCTGCTGAACGCCTGTCACCCCACTGACACTGCTGACCCTGCTGACCCTGCTGACCCCTGGACGGGTTTCTTTAAAGCCCCTCTGTGGGACTGGACTGCTTTTGCTATAGTGCTGACATTTACCGTGCTGCAGGGGGCACTGTACTACCTACCTGTAGGACAGGTGAGGAAACAGGGGCCCCTTTCTTCTTTTCTTCATCACTTATTAGTGTTTTTACCTTCAGTCCTTCAGGCTGCTTCTATCTGCTCCTCAGTGTTGGAGTCACGCAGCACAGCAGTTACAGTAATGTGATTACTTTTGTAGTGTAACTCACTATCAGCTCGGTAACATTTACACTTTATTCACTATCAGCTCGGTTACATTTACACTTTATTCACTATCAGCTCTGTAACATTTACACGTTATTCACCATCAGTTCTGTAACATTTACACTTTATTCACTATCAGCTCTGTAACATTTACACTTCATTCACTATCAGCTCAGTAACAATTACACTTTATTCACTATCAGCTCTGTAACATTTACACTTTATTCACTATCAGCTCTGTAACATTTACACTTTATTCACTATCAGCTCGGTAACATTTACACGTTATTCACCATCAGTTCTGTAACATTTACACTTTATTCACTATCAGCTCTGTAACATTTACACTTCATTCACTATCAGCTCAGTAACAATTACACGTTATTCACTATCAGTTCTGTAACATTTACACTTTATTCACTATCAGCTCTGTAACATTTACACGTTATTCACCATCAGTTCTGTAACATTTACACTTTATTCACTATCAGCTCTGTAACATTTACACTTCATTCACTATCAGCTCAGTAACATTTACACGTTATTCACCATCAGTTCTGTAACATTTACACTTTATTCACTATCAGCTCTGTAACATTTACACTTCATTCACTATCAGCTCAGTAACAGTTACACGTTATTCACTATCAGCTCAGTAACATGTACACTTTATTCACTATCAGCTCTGTAACATTTACACTTTATTCACTATCAGCACTGTAACATTTACACGTTATTCACCATCAGTTCTGTAACATTTACACTTCATTCACTATCAGTTCTGTAACAATTACACGTTATTCACTATCAGTTCTGTAACATTTACACTTTATTCACTATCAGCTCTGAAACATTTACACTTTATTCACTATCAGCTGGGTAACATTTACACTTTATTCACTATCAGCTCTGTAACATTTACACTTTATTCAATATCAGTTCTGTAACATTTACACTTTATTCACTTTCAGCTCAGTAACATTTACACTTTATTCACTATCAGCTCTGAAACATTTACACTTTATTCACTTTCAGCTCAATAACATTTACACTTTATTCACTATCAGTTCTGTAACATTTACACTTTATTCACTATCAGCTCTGTAGCATTTACACGTTATTCACTATCAGCTCTGTAACAATTACGCATTATTCACTATCAGTTCTGTAACATTTACACGTTATTCACTATCAGCTCAGTAACAATTACACGTTATTCACTATCAGTTCTGTAACATTTACACTTTATTCACTATCAGCTCAGTAACGTTTACATGTTATTCACCATCAGGTTTGTAACATTTACACTTTATTCACTATCAGTTCTGTAACATTTACACGTTATTCACTATCAGTTCTGTAACATGTACACTTTATTCACTATCAGTTCAGTAACATTTACACTTTATTCACTGTCAGCTCAGTAACGTTTACACGTTATTCACCATCAGGTTTGTAACATTTACACTTCATTCACTATCAGCTCGGTAACATTTACACTTTATTCACTATCAGTTCTGTAACATTTACACTTTATTCACTATCAGTTCTGTAACATTTACACTTTATTCACTTTCAGCTCAGTAACATTTACACTTTATTCACTATTAGCTCTGAAACATTTACACTTTATTCACTATCAGCTCAATAACATTTACACTTTATTCACTATCAGTTCTGTAACATTTACACTTTATTCACTAGCAGCTCGGTAACATTTACACGTTATTCACTATCAGCTCAGTAACAATTACGCATTATTCACTATCAGTTCTGTAACATTTACACTTTATTCACTATCAGCTCAGTAACGTTTACACGTTATCCACCATCAGGTTTGTAACATTTACACTTTATTCACTATCAGTTCTGGAACATTTACACTTTATTTATTATCAGCTCGGTAACATTTACACTTTATTCACTATCAGTTCTGTAACATTTACACTTTATTCACTATCAGTTCTGTAACATTTACACGTTATTCACTTTCAGCTCAGTAACATTTACACTTTATTTACTATTAGCTCAGTAACATTTACACTTTATTCAGTATCAGCTCTGTAACATTTATACTTTACTCCCTATCAGCTCAGTAACATTTACACTTTATTCACTATCAGTTCTGTAACATTTACACTTTATTTACTATCAGCTCTGTAACATTTACACTTTATTCACTATCAGCACTGTAACATTTACACTTTATTCACTATCGGCACTGTAACGTTTACACTTTATTCACTAAAGGATGGCGGGTTGAGCCGAGCTTTACTCGAAGCTCAAAGGGCTCGAGGTCCAGTTCGAGTTTTGACCATTGTCATCAGGGAGAGAGGGGCTGGTCTGTTTCTCTATATGTCGACTAGATTTAAGATCAGATTTAATTTTCTGCAGTGTGGGTGTGTTTTTGTTGTGGCACTCACCACTGATGATCACACGTCAGACGAAAACAACAGCCTGCGACTGGTCGGTTTGCATGTCAGTCTAACGGCCCCTTCCTGTTAAAGCAGGCAGTAGTCCTGGGTGATAGGACGATGTAATCAGATATTGGCAATGATGGATAAGTAACCCAATAAAAATGCTCTCTCTCTCTCTCTCTCTCTCTCTCTCTCTCTCTCTCTGTCTCTCTCTCTCTCTCTTTCTCTCTGTCTCTCTCTCTCTCTCTCTGTCTCTCTGTCTCTCTCTCTCTCTCTCTCTCTCTCTGTGTGTCTGTCTCTCTGTCTCTCTCTCTCTGTCTCTCTCTCTCTCTCTCTCTCTCTCTCTCTCTCTGTCTGTCTCTCTGTTTAGGTGGCTGAGGGGAAGATGGGCTGCAATGAAAAAAGACTGAAATACAGCCTAAATGGTGGGTTACACTTTATATTAATTCACTCTGTCTTTCCTTCAAAAAATCCTTTTCTACTAAAAGGATTCTTGTTCAAACACTAAAAAACTCTCTCCATGTTTTTTTTCTGTTTCACCAAAATCTGCTGTTTCTTAGTCAGTATTTACTGTTTGTACTGAACTCTCACTGTTTGTACTGAACTCTCACTGTTTGTACTGAACTCCTACTGTATGTACTGAACTCCTACTGTTTGTACTGAACTCCTACTGTATGTACTGAACTCTCACTGTTTATACTGAACTCTCACTGTTTGTACTGAACTCCTACTGTATGTACTGAACTCCTACTGTATGTACTGAACTCCTACTGTTTGTACTGAACTCTCACTGTTTGTACTGAACTCCTACGGTATGTACTGAACTCCTACTGTTTGTACTGAACTCCTACTGTATGTACTGAACTCTCACTGTTTATACTGAACTCTCACTGTTTGTACTGAACTCTCACTGTTTGTACTGAACTCCTACTGTTTGTACTGAACTCTCACTGTTTATACTGAACTCTCACTGTTTGTACTGAACTCCTACTGTTTGTACTGAACTGCCTGCTTAATTTATTAATAATCATCACATTTGCTTTGCTTGTTGTTTTATATATTAATAATTTGTATGTTATATATATTTTATATATTAATAATTTGTATGTTATATATATATATATATATATATATATATGAATATATGTGTGTGTTAAATATCCAGTAAAGTTAGTTATTTATTTATCTTACTCCTGGTTTATTTAATGATCTACATGTATTGTTTATTTACTGATAAATATTTATTGATCGTGTTCTGCTCGCTGTCAGGTCTGCATGCGTTTGGAGTGTGTATAGTGCTGCTGATGTGTGTGTGGGAGTGTGGGTATGTGAGGGCGGTCAGTGTGTCCAGCAGGGTTTTGGCGCTGGTCAGTGCCGGGTGTGTCGTCTCAGTGCTGCTCTGTGTGTGTCTGTACCTGCGGTCAGTTTTAGCTCAAACTCAACACCCTCAGGACAATAACACAGGTAATAAAATATTAGGGGAGGGGCTTATTAATTACAGGTTTAGGGGAGGGGCTTATTAAGTACAGCTTTAGGGGAGGGGCTTATTAAATACATGTTTAGAGGATGGGCTTATTTAATACATGTTTGGGGGAGGGGCTTATTAAATACATGTTTGGGGAGGGGCTTATTGATTACAGGTTTAGAGAAGGGGCTTATTAAATACAGGTTTAGGGGAGGGGCTTATTAAACACAGGTCAGTAGGTCATACAGTGTCAGAAACCTCGTCTTCAGGTTGAACTTGTCTCTGTGTATTAAAAGGTTCTGTTCTCTTCAGGCGGGTTCTTGCTGGACTTTGCTCTGGGCAGAGAGGTGGACCCTCGTGTGGGGATAATCGATTTGAAGCAGTTTGCTATGGTCAGAATCGGCTTCATCGGCTGGGTGAGTGGAGCTCATGGATGTGTGTTCTATGTTCTATGTTCTGTAGGGTCTGATGGATGTGTGTTTTATGTTCTACGTTCTGTAGGGGCTGATTAATGTGTGTTCTATGTTCTGTGTTCTGTAGGGGCTGATGGATGTGTGTTCTGTAGGGTCTGATGGATGTGTGTTCTATGTTCTGTGTTCTGTAGGGGCTGATTAATGTGTGTTCTATGTTCTGTGTTCTGTAGGGGCTGATGGATGTGTGTTCTGTGTTCTGTGTTCTGTAGGGGCTGATGGATGTGTGTTCTATGTTTTATGTCCTGTAGGGTCTGATGGATGTGTGTTCTGTGTTCTATGTTCTGTAGGGTCTGATGGATGTGTGTTCTATGTTCTGTGTTCTGTAGGGTCTGATGGATGTGTGTTCTATGTTCTGTAGGGTCTGATGGATGTGTGTTCTATGTTCTATGTTCTGTAGGGTCTGATGGATGTGTGTTCTTTGTTCTGTAGAGTCTGATGGATGTGTGTTCTTTGTTCTATGTTCTGTAGGGTCTGATGGATGTGTGTTCTATGTTCTATGTTCTGTAGGGTCTGATGGATGTGTGTTCTTTGTTCTATGTTCTGTAGGGTCTGATGGATGTGTGTTCTGTGTTCTGTGTTCTGTAGGGTCTGATGGATGTGTGTTCTTTGTTCTATGTTCTGTAGGGTCTGATGGATGTGTGTTCTGTGTTCTGTAGGGTCTGATGGATGTGTGTTCTGTGTTCTATGTTCTGTAGGGTCTGATGGATGTGTGTTCTATGTTCTGTAGGGTCTGATGGATGTATGTTCTGTGTTCTGTGTTCTGTAGAGTCTGATGGATGTGTGTTCTGTGTTCTATGTTCTGTAGGGGCTGATGGATGTGTGTTCTATGTTCTATGTTCTGTAGGGGCTGATGGATGTGTGTTCTGTGTTCTATGTTCTGTAGGGTCTGATGGATGTGTGTTCTATGTTCTGTGTTCTGTAGGGTCTGATGGATGTGTGTTCTTTGTTCTATGTTCTGTAGGGTCTGATGGATGTGTGTTTTATGTTCTACGTTCTGTAGGGTCTGATGGATGTGTGTTCTGTGTTCTATGTTCTGTAGGGTCTGATGGATGTGTGTTCTATGTTCTGTAGGGTCTGATGGATGTGTGTTCTGTATTCTATGTTCTGTAGGGTCTGATGGATGTGTGTTCTATGTTCTACGTTCTGTAGGGTCTGATGGATGTGTGTTCTGTGTTCTATGTTCTGTAGGGTCTGATGGATGTGTGTTCTATTTTCTGTAGGGGCGATGGAGTGGTTCTATGTTCTGTGTTCTGTAGGGTCTGATGGATGTGTGTCTGTGATTGTAGGGTCTGATGGATGTGTGTCTACTGTAGTTCTGTAGGGTCTGATGGATGTGTGTTCTATTTCTGTAGGGGTCTGATGGATGTGTGTTCTATGTTCTGTGTCTGTAGTCTGATGGATGTGTGTTCTGCATGTCTGTAGGGTCTGATCTGATGTCCGATGTTGTGTCGTTATGTGTTCTGTGTTCTGTAGGGTCTGATGGATGTGTGTTCTATGTTCTGTGTTCTGTAGGGTCTGATGGATGTGTGTTCTATGTTCTGTGTTCTGTAGGGTCTGATGGATGTGTGTTCTGTGTTCTGTAGGGTCTGATGGATGTGTGTTCTATGTTCTGTGTTCTGTAGGGTTTGATGGATGTGTGTTCTGTGTTCTGTGTTCTGTAGGGTCTGATGGATGTGTGTTCTGTAGGGTCTGATGGATGTGTGTTCTATGTTCTATGTTCTGTAGAGTCTGATGGATGTGTGTTCTACATTCTGTAGGGGCTGATGGATGTGTGTTCTATGTTCTGTGTTCTGTAGGGTCTGATGGATGTGTGTTCTGTGTTCTGTAGGGGCTGATGGATGTGTGTTCTATGTTCTGTGTTCTGTAGGGTCTGATGGATGTGTGTTCTATGTTCTATGTTCTGTAGGGTCTGATGGATGTGTGTTCTACGTTCTGTAGGGGCTGATGGATGTGTGTTCTATGTTCTGTGTTCTGTAGGGTCTGATGGATGTGTGTTCTTTGTTCTATGTTCTGTAGGGTCTGATGGATGTGTGTTTTATGTTCTACGTTCTGTAGGGTCTGATGGATGTGTGTTCTGTATTCTATGTTCTGTAGGGGCTGATGGATGTGTGTTCTATGTTCTACGTTCTGTAGGGTCTGATGGATGTGTGTTCTATTTTCTGTAGGGGCTGATGGATGTGTGTTCTATGTTCTACGTTCTGTAGGGTCTGATGGATGTGTGTTCTGTGTTCTATGTTCTGTAGGGTCTGATGGATGTGTGTTCTATTTTCTGTAGGGGCTGATGGATGTGTGTTCTATGTTCTGTGTTCTGTAGGGTCTGATGGATGTGTGTTCTGTGTTCTGTAAGGTTTGATGGATGTGTGTTCTATGTTCTGTGTTCTGTAGGGTCTGATGGATGTGTGTTCTACATTCTGTAGGGGCTGATGGATGTGTGTTCTATGTTCTGTGTTCTGTAGGGTTTGATGGATGTGTGTTCTGGGTTCTGTGTTCTGTAGGGGCTGATGGATGTGTGTTCTGTAGGGTCTGATGGATGTGTGTTCTATGTTCTATGTTCTGTAGAGTCTGATGGATGTGTGTTCTACATTCTGTAGGGGCTGATGGATGTGTGTTCTATGTTCTGTGTTCTGTAGGATCTGATGGATGTGTGTCCTATGTTCTGTGTTCTGTATGGTCTGATGGATGTGTGTTCTGTGTTCTATGTTCTGTAGGGTCTGATGGATGTGTGTTCTGTGTTCTATGTTCTGTAGGGTCTGATGGATGTGTGTTCTGTGTTCTATGTTCTGTAGGGTCTGATGGATGTGTGTTATCTCCTGACTGCAGTGGAGTCTGAATCTCTCTCGATGCCTCTGCTGCTCACCATCACCTTTCAGTTAATCTACATCATTGAATTCCTGATCGACGAGGTTCCGATCTCTAATCATAAACTCTTAAACTGATCAGAAATATTCAGTGATTGATTAGTGTCTACAAAGTTCTGTCTGAAGTTTAATGCGGTTCTTCGGTCTGAAGGAGTAACATCTACACTGTCTGTCACTGAAAGTTCATGTAGGTCAACCAGGTCCATCACCGTTTCTACACACGTAGGGATGTTTTCCAGCTGTGAGACGCTGGTTCCACTCTGTTTATGCTGAAACTCAAATTCAATCTCTTAGCATGTTTAGCCTGTTTAGCCTGCTATCTTTAGCCTGTTTAGCCTGCTATCTTTAGCCTGTTTAGCATGTTTAGCCTGCTATCTTTAGCCTGTTTAGCATGTTTAGCCTGCTATCTTTAGCCTGTTTAGCCTGCTATCTTTAGCATGTTTAGCCTGCTATCTTTAGCCTGTTTAGCCTGCTATCTTTTAGTCTGTTTAGCCTGCTTTTTTTAGCCTGTTTAGCTTGCTATCTTTTAGCATGTTTAGTCTGCTATCTTTTAGCATGTTTAGTCTGCTATCTTTTAGCATGTTTAGTCTGCTATCTTTAGCATGTTTAGCCTGCTATCCTGTAACATGTTTAGTCTGCTGTATTTTAGCATGTTTAGCCTGCTAATCAGAATTAACAGTGACTTTCTTACAGTTAAAGTGTGTTTTTAGGTACATATTAGGTAAAATCACTGTATCACTGTACAGTAACTACTGCTTTTATAAAACACCTCTGAAAAGTGATTTATTGATTTATCTCAATGCAAAACCCAGCTCTTCTGCCAAACACTAGTGAGGTAACAGTGAGTTGCCAAGTGAAAGATTTTTCCACCAACAGCACAGCGGTTTTAATAACTTGGAGCATTAATACAGATTGAGTTAATCAGTACGCTCATGTAGGGTTTTGTTACCTTGAAATACTAAAATTAAAAAACCTAACTTGTAGCCTGATGTAACAGAATATTTGTTCATAACTGCAAACTATCACTCAAATTCAGCTTAAAATGTACAGCAGTGCATTCATGTATTGATAATGTAGATTTAAATGATTATTGGCTGATGGCTGTAAATAAAAGTGGATTTATGTGTTTCATTGTTTTTTTGTTTTTTTTGTTTCTTTCTGAATCTGTATGCATTAATTACTGTGGGGTGCTTATTATGTTTACTGTGCTTATGCTATTTATGCATCTTCAGGGTTCAGTGTTGGGCACTAAGGAGTTCACTGAAGAATCCATTGGGTTCCTGATGATTTTGGGAGAGTACATCTGGATCCCTTTTTTTTCCAGCCTTCCTGTTTACTTCCTGCTTCAGCGACCCAATGACATCCACTTCCTGTCTGCTATTCCCATCATCCTGCTCTTCAGTGAGTGTAATTATGGACATATTGATCTGAATCCGTTATGAATTACACAGTACAGCAGTATCATAATACTGCAGAATACAGGGGACCCATCATTCCTTATTCCACCATTTTCAACATCAGAGTGATTCAGAGTGGTTTGTTGTAAAACGGTTCAGATGTCTTTACAGTGGTGGTGATAAGAACCAGGGGTCGCCATGACTACAACACAAATATAGACATTTTATTTACTATCCAAAACCACCAGTGAACCTACACGAGTCTTCTGAGTTTATATGGAATGTTGATGATGGAAAATAGTGGAAAATCTGAAATAATAAGTTTTCTTTGGGGACTATTTTGCCTCACAGCGCCCTGCATGTATCCCTCCACCATGAATGGAGTTTAAGTTCTCTAAACTATCATAAAACAGTGTCTCAGTCATCAGGCAGTGAATTCATAACCATTTACTGTAGGAACTTTCTGTGAGGGAGCTTTTAGAGGTGGACGTCTGGTTCCTATCACCACCACTGTGAACAGTTCTGACTCTGAACCGCTCTGATTACATCTTAACCAGTTAATTAAGCACAATTATGCAATTTTAGAAAATCTGGTGGAGTTCACCTTTAAATCATATTGCTATTTCACATCAGGTTTCAAATATTCATTTAATATGAACTAAGTAAAAAAAGCCTTGTGATCGGAAGGTCACCGGTTTGATCCCCTGAGCCCACAGTAGGTGACTGAAGTGCCCTTGAGCATCTAACCCCCAACTGCCCCCCGGGCGCTGTGGATAGGGCTAGGGCTGTGGATCCTGCCCCTAGTGTGTGTGTTCACTAGTGTGTATGTGGTGTTTTACTGCACAGATGGGTCAAATGCGGAGGTGAAATTTCCCCATTGTGGGACTAATAAGGGTCACTCACTTAATATTACACTAATAACAGTCTGAGAAAGGTGCTACACAAATTAATAATTAATAGATTATTAATTAATAATAATCTGTTGTCAGAAGTTCCAGTATTGTGTTAAAATATCACCAGATTAAAGTCTAAGTCCCCGTTACTTTACACACAGGAAATCACTTCACAAATCAGCTAGAGATGTGATGAATACACTAATAGTCTCCAGGTCTCTGTGCTGTATGTTTTGAGGTGTCTTAAGGTTCCTCTCGGTTCTCCTGTGCAGGTGTGGGATTTCTGATGTATTACATGGCCAACGAGCAGAAGAGCAGATTCCGCGAAAACCCACATCATCCAGCGGTCGCCCGTACGTATCAGCTGTTTATTACTACATCTGAACTTCACATACAATTAACTAAAAAACTCCAGCAAATGAAAATAATGTCCAGCAGAACAAAGCAGAGGGTGGGTGGGTTGGGGGGGCATGTAGAGAATGTTTAGGGACGTGTTTATGGTTGTAATATTGCAAGAAAACAGAAATGACACACTGACTTGACATACAAATCAAAAAAAGAACATCAGGCCAGTTTCTGATTATAATGAAATAGTGGTTAATGCACAAAAATGCACCAAATGTATAAAATAGCAGAGCTAATCCAGATGTTTCATGTTGCTCTGGTTCATACGAAGGTGGACAATTTGGCAAAAATGCATTATTATGACACTTAAAGCCATTTTCAATATGCACAATATTTGTGATGTGCTGAAATAAAAACTCTGCTGAAACCCAAATTCAGGACACACTGGGCCAAAAACAGAAACTGAGAAACCGAAAAAAAAATGTTTTGGCGATTTTATTTAAGTAATTAATTCATTAATTCATTCATTTAAATGATTGACTGATTGATTAAACATAACAAAAAACACATCTCTGAAAATCACAAGTTCCACTTTTGACCATTTTCTACATGATAAGCATCACATTTAGTTGTTATGAGTTTTGTGAAAAAGCTTGGAAAATAATGCACCAACAAAACAGCAGAGCTACATCTAAAAAACTGAAAAACTCAACTTAAGGTACAATTATTTTATTATTAAATGTTGAAAAAGATCAGCAGATGAAAAAGATGTGGAGCTGCTGTCCAATCAGCTCACTTGTTATTGTGTGGTTTATGGTTGTTGTTGTTTACAGGTTCTCTATAATTGGTCTTAATCTTTACTATGAACCATGCAGGTGTTCTGCGTTCTAGAAGTGCTAATTATACATCATATACTATCATAACAGAATTCATCACAATAATAATAGAATATCATCGCATCGCCCAGCTCTCGACCGTTTTATGTAATAATTCATAGTGTGATATTGAATCAGTGCATGTTTTGTATTATTTATTATGTCACATAATGATCAGGTCTGGAAACCATTCGCAGTCCGTCTGGTCAGAACCTGCTGGTGTCCGGCTGGTTCGGTTGGGTTCGGCATCCAAACTATCTGGGAGACATTCTGCTGATGTTGGCGTGGTGCCTGCCCTGCGGTAAGATTAAACATCTCTGAAATACTGATCAGATATTCACTACAATCTCATATTACTATAAATAAGGAATACTGTCAAATTCAAGTCACAAAATTACGAAGTGTAATATTCGCTGAAAATGATCTAAAGATCTGAATATAAGATGATATCTGGAGCATTTATATTTTGGCAAGCGAAAACATTTTAAATGTAAGCTATATATATCATTACACAAGAAAATTCTAAGATTATTCAACCTATTTCTACATATTTTGACTATAGAATATATAGAGAGATCTTATGAGGTGAAATGATCTTATGAAATTACAGATAATTTAAATTTAATGACTTAAATTACTTCGTGTTTAGAAATAGATTGAATGATCTTATATTCTTATAATAATCCAATAATAAGAAATATTTAGTCAATATACCCCCCCACTGTCAGACTGACCTACATTAAAATATATCACAAAGCAGAATTCCTCAATAAACTGGATAATTTAAGCCCAAAGTTTGGATCATTCCCTCAGAATTCTGCTATTGGACCAGCTAAATGAGAAATCCCGCTCTGTGAAGTGAACCAAGGTAAGTAACTGAGGTGTTGTGTGCAGGTTTCTCCAGTCTGCTGCCGTACCTGCCCGCTCTGCAGTGCTTCAGCCTGCTGAGGAAGAGGAGTAATGAGATTGAGGAGTCCTGTCTGGAGAAACACGGAGAGGCTTGGAGGGAATACTGCAGGAGAGTTCCCTACAAACTCATACCGTACATCTACTGAAGACACGGACAGACATCATAATATCAGCACCAGTTATTCAGGGGTGGGATGTAACAGAATACAAATGTTGGGAATACAAAAATTAAATATCTGCATTCAGTTCAAATCACATTTTGTAAAGGCAGCATTCAGAATACAGTTACTATTTACATTTTAGAATACTTTTAGATTACTGACCCACTAAATTAAAAATATACAGTATTTATAAAAACACCATCACTTTGTTTATTAACTATTTTAGAATCACTGCACGGCGTGTAGCGAACATGCTCGCTAGACAAACTCTAAAGACCTCAATTAACAGCTTCTTTATAAACTAAAGTACTGGACTCCTGCTTGGGGGGTTGTGGGAGCAGTAGTGGACTGAAGCAGGCAGCTTGAGAATTTTCGGAACCTCATTTAAATGCTAAGCCAATTTTTCATGAAATGTATTAACACAGCTAGTATATGAATAAAACTGTGAATTGTAACAGCAAGAAACAGTGAGAATTAAGTAAAAAAGTAAAAGTTCCCGTGTCTTACCAAGATGTATTCTAAACGTATTCTAATTATATTACTTTTTATGTATTATAATATAGTTACTGAACACATTTGGGACAGTGTATTCAGACATCACAACCCTGCCAATAATAAAGAGAATTAAACCAGTGAATGATGTTTGTGCTTCTTTGAACATCTTTTTTTCCCAGACAGGTTTCTGACAGTAAGTCTGCAGTTTATTTACTGTAACATCTCACTGTTATTTAACTAAAATCAGACACCACAAATATGGTTGATACTTAAAAATACTAATTCAGATGTTATAATATCCAATAACACTTAGAAAACTGTGTGCTTCCACACACTAGCTTAACAAGTGAACTAGACAACTTGCATATTTTGGGTTATTTTTAATTATTTGCAACATACAATGATCAGTTGATCAGTGCAGACAGTGAGTCTGATTATTCTTGATGGATCTGAGTTTTAACTACTACAGTCCAGATTAAAGTTCTTCACTTTTACAAACACCATCTTTTACCCCAACAGAAGCCTTAATGACCCACAAATCAGCACGGGGTGAGTAACTGTGGGTCCTTTAAGTGTTTATTTGGCAAAGAGGAGCCATAAACCACCGTGTTTATCTGGTTAAATTCTGTTGGTCTCAGTGTTTGTGTCAGACAAAATGGCCGAAAGCAGCCATTTCACCTCCACTGTTGTTCTACAAGGAACTAGTTCTATTTTGTTTTTCACACCCATATTCAGGCAAGTCCCGTCTCTGCTGCGCTGTGATTGGCTAATGGTTTCTGCGTACTGTACTGTGATTGGATAACAGATAACAATTCGCCCAATACATGAGCACGAAATGCTGTCCAATGACAGCGGAGGAGGGCGGGAGTTGCTTGAAAACGGGTGCGAAATAAAAAATATCGCCAAACACCCAAAATCAAGATTCAGGCGGTTTTAACGTCTCTTCACTTTCTGAATAAAAACACCAGGTAAGTTTGAAAATAGTCGACTTTGTTGTACAAAAGAGCATATATAAGAAAATTACCGTACTAAAAAACCTTTTTTTGTTTCATAAAAGTGATAATTACGCTTAAAATGACCTCAAAACTAAAGCTGAAAAATGCGAGACAGTCAGAACTGCGCCGCGCTGAAAGAGCAGCTAACAGTTAGCTTTCGTCTCCCGGGCTGTATTTCGGTTAACCTCCTTTCGCTTCGAATAACAGCCAGTTTAGTCACTCATTCGAACCCAAAACCGACTCGGTGAACTACCTAAAGTGTATAATAACACTTTTGATTCGTAAAAGCTGAATATGAACGCGTGTTTCGCTGTAAATCGTCGTTTTATTCGTCTCTTCTTCAAACTGCTATTTTCTCTCTTCCCGCAGTCTCCACAGCAGCCATTATGTCACTCTTTAAAGAGGCGGAGCGTTGGACAGAATTAGCCAATGAGAGCGTTCGACTTAAGGCACAGATCCTCAAGTCCCTCCTCCGCATGGCTGCGATTGGTTAAATTGTTGTAGGACTGTCGCTGATTGACCGGAGGCTGCTGCTGCTTCGAAACAGCTCAAACGAAACTTGGCAACTGCAGAAAAAAACACACAAACAAACAAAAAAAAATCGAGGTTATTTATATTTTATACATTTATATAATTATTAAATATATTTTATATATTTTTTTTACGTTAATGAGAATTAAGATGAGAATATTTTTAATTGGCCAAGTACAAGAAATTTATTTTGGTGTAAAAATACTAAAGAAGTACTAAAATACACAACAAACGGTTTGAGCAGTGGGAGAAATGTGTAATTACAAATATAGAAGTGTTCAGATACACAGAATATGTACACTCTTAAAAAAGGGAAGGTTCTTCAAGGGTTCTTAAGTAAAGACTTTGGATCTATATAGAAACATGAGCACTCAAAAAACCCTTTGCATGCTTTGCATGGTGAAATGTTCTTCAGACTGATGGAGAATGTGTTGTAGTTGTCAAAAAGAGCTTTTCTATTGTTACAAACTTGACATTGTAACTTTAGCAGAACCTTTTCGGTGCTATTTTCCAAGAGGACCTATATAGAACTATATACAACACGTTCTCCATCAATCTGAAAAACAGATTCACCATGCAGAGAACCGTTCAAGCATGCAGATGGTTCTTTGGGTGTTTAAAGTTCTACATAGAACTCTTGTCTTCACTAAAGAACCCTTGAAGAGTTTTTTAAGGAGTGTACACTGTGTTTTCATATATGTATCTAGTAACTTTTTACAAAATCCATTAAATTATTGATATTTAAAAAAAAAATGAATTTGCTGGAAAGTTTGGTGTTTTTTTGATAATCCAGTTCTGGCTCTTGCTTCATCTGTTCACAGTAGTCAGTGTCTTTTAGTTAGCATTACAGATAATCTTTTAAAAGACATTTTAATCCCGGATTTGTCTGTTTCAGGTGACTTTGAGCAGCTATGGCCCGTACTAAACAGACCGCCCGTAAGTCGACAGGAGGAAAAGCCCCCCGAAAGCAGCTCGCCACCAAAGCTGCCCGTAAGAGTGCTCCCTCTACTGGAGGGGTGAAGAAGCCCCATCGCTACAGGTGAAGCAGAGCTTAGTGAGATACATTATTACTGTAAGAACTGACTAAATAAACTGTGGAAGTGGATCAAACGTGACCCGTTTGTTCTGTAGCTGGTTTATTTGTCTGATACTGTTACAGATACTGTTTAAGGACTCAGTGTAGACAGGAGTGCCGTTCAGATTGTTATTAAAGTCGCTGTGTTTCTCAGGCCGGGTACCGTGGCTCTGCGTGAGATCCGTCGGTATCAGAAGTCGACGGAGCTGCTGATCCGAAAGCTGCCGTTCCAGCGTCTGGTCAGAGAAATCGCCCAGGACTTCAAAACGGACCTGAGGTTCCAGAGCGCCGCCATCGGAGCCCTGCAGGTCAGTCTGGTTCTGATCAGTGAAGAGAATTAATTCAGCCTTTACAGAACGACTGTATATTAAAACGGCTCATATTGAATAAGACCTGTATAACCAGCTGTGTGAACCATTTATCCCAATAATATGATCTAACAACATTGGTATAAAAATATAGGGATTGATTCTGTCTCAGTGCTCTTCTCTGAGTATATGTTAGTACTAAGACCACTGAGCTACTGCATGGAGTTTATTCATTCATTCATTCATTGAACCTTTATTTAAACTCTGAAAATATATTGAGGTAAACGCCTCAATACAATGTAGCTGAGAAAAAAAATAAAATATAAGAAAACTTGGTTTTATATAGCACAAATAAGAAACTTAATGGTAAGATAACAACCAAATTGGTAAAATAATTAAACCTTAAAAATAAATAAAACAACTAAAATAAAAAACAAAAAGGTATCAACTAAAACATGAACAAATAGAAGTAAAATAATCAACTTTAATTTTGTACATGCTGAACAGTAACAGTCTTTCAAAGCCTTTTTTAAATGTATTTTTGATGTTTTGCTGCTGCTGATTCGTCCAGTTTGTTCCCAAAACCTCTGGAAAAAAATATTGTAATAAATATAATGTTGATATATTTTTGCTTTATTGCCCAAAACTTGATATCACTTCAGAATTATTCTGACAATAATAATAATTGTTATTCTGCAAACCTATTTATGTGATTCATTCTTGTAATATTCATATGAGAACATATTTTAGAGACTAAAATAAAGATTCTGAATGAAATGTGTTGGTTAAAACCTGCGTAAGTGTTGATAACCTCTGATAGACAGGCAGACATGTCTGTGTATAACAATAACAGTAAAAGATTTAGAGGTGGCCTAAACTGTTTATTAATAAGCGAAAGCTGTAATTCAGGTGAATATTTGCTAATATTAGAATATTGTAGCTTCTCTGATTTTCTGTCCTGGTGTTTGTGTCTGCAGGAGGCCAGCGAGGCGTACCTGGTGGGTCTGTTCGAGGACACTAACTTGTGCGCCATCCACGCCAAGCGTGTCACCATCATGCCCAAAGACATCCAGCTGGCCCGCCGGATCCGTGGAGAGCGCGCCTAAAAGCCCGACCCCAAAATCTCTCTTTCTCTTCTCTACTCTTGTCTTTCCTTCCCTCAGTGTGGATCATCATGACGAAACCGTCGTTTTTTTGTGTGTGTTTGTTTGTTTGTGTTCTCTTTTGCTTTGAAACTCACGGCGAACAGACGTGTGCAGAAGTGAGGGTAGATTAATTTACGCACATAAACGTGGCTGTAAAACGTGTTTCTGGATCGGTGGGTTGTTGTAGATCTAGAGGGGTTTTCGCAGTAGCTGAATTGTAGAAGGGAATTTGGAGTTCGGAATGATTTAATTTGAGGCTAATTTGTACGTGATTGGAATCAGAGCCCTGTCCAGAATCCCACATCCAGATTAGGGCTGCACGATTCGTACTAAACTCCGATATTGTGATTATATTGGAGCGACGTATTCAGACCTGTTGATGCATCGGCGGTTAAAGATCTGCATTATTTTGACCAACATAATTTGCTTTTGGATTGAATTTGCTGATTGTATCAGAACATCCACAAAAACTCTGGAGCTCTGATTGGTCTGGACGCTCACAGCACTCAGTATCAGAATGATGAACCGATACATCGTGCAGCCCTTAATCAGACAGAGTTCAGTTAAAAAGAACAGATTTACTCTTTTATTACACGAGAAATCACCACGGCATTAACCTGCGTCCTCCTGATTGGCTGTTTTCGTACTGAAATGTACAGATTTACTGATTTAGGTGTCGGGATTGTGGTTAAAATCTGGTCAAATCTGTTTTAAAGGGTTTAAGGGCTCCTTTGGTATGGGGACCATCCTCTTCAGGGTGTTTCCACTCATCACTGGATTCGTGTAGATTTTCATGAAGCACACTCTCTTCCTCTATAAACATGTTTTGTGTCTTTTGTTATTGAGTGCTTTTATATTATTATTATTTTTTATCTTTACTGGTGTGATAGAACATTATTTGTATTCATGTTTGTCAGAGTGTTTCACCGTAGACTGTTTCCCAACTTTTCCCAATTCAGGAAGATAAAGTTAATTTTTTTTCCACATATTGGCAAATAACTGTCTTTATCTTTGACTACAAGACTATAAATACATGTAGTGGGTGTTTAAAGCAGTTTCCTTTTTTTATCCCATTTTCATGAATCCGGGTGTCATTTGTAGGTGACTGCTCAGGTTTTTCTACATTTTTTTTAACAGACGTAAAAAGCATATCTTTGTGTTTTCGGAATTTACGAAATGGAAAAATAAACGTGTTTTTCCTGAACTCTGCTCTCTTTTCCGCATTTATTCATACCAACGTCATCTAAAACATCGTTAGTGTTCGCACTGTTGATTTCATTTAAAACACAGAGTAGAAAAACAAAAAACATTGTGGCCAGAAAATTAATATTCACTCCCAAAAAGGTCCTCGTTTAGCTTTTGGTAGGAAAAGCTCTAACTTACAGTTTGAAATTTGCCTCGTTAAACTGGAAGCACATCATTTTAAATAAATCTCCTGGTTCAGTTCATTTTAGATCTGATGAACCGCAGATTATTCAAATAGCTGGATCTCATTAAACAGACTGGCTAAATAAAAATGTGAAAAAACAGGCATTACAAATAAGAAACTTGGGTGAAAGGTAATAAACAAACTGGTAAAATAATAAAACCTTAAAAATCAATAAAATAGAAGTGACTTCAGCTTTTGCAGGTGCTGAACAGTACAAGGTTTCAGTCTTTATTGCCTTTTTTAAATGTATTTTTGATGTTCTGCTGCTGGTTTGTCCAGTTTGTTCCCAAAACTATTGTTAAACAGTATTGTGATAAATATCATGTATGATCGTGATATGTTCACTCAAAATGTGATATTACTCAGAATTATTATTCTAAAAATAATTATTATTATTCTGAGAACCTGATCATGTGATTAACTCTTGTAATATTGATATGAGCCCAGAGTTTAGAGACTTAAACAATGATCTGGAATGAAATGTGTTGGTTAAAAGCTGCAGAAGTGTTGATAACAGATATATAGATAGATACAAACATCCATACATACGTAAATAGGTAGGTCTGCACACAACAATAATAATAATAATAATAATAATGATAGCAGTAAAAAGCTTAAACAGCCCTGTTTATTAATAAGCGAAAGCTGTAATGCAGGTGACTATATGCTAATATTAGAATATTGTAGCTTCTCTGATTTTCTGTCCTGGTTATTCTCATAGTTGGATCTCATTAAACAGGCAGACTAAACTGAGTTGTAATCTGTAACTATTTTTATTCACACAGCCTAAAGTTAGAGATGCAGTTTCCGCTGCTGCTGCCTGATTAAAGATCCTCATAAAGCTGAGAAAGTAGAAAAGTTAATAAAGGTCCTGTTGTAACTCCCTCAGTTTAATCATGTAATAGTTTAAGCAACAATGCTTACTTTAATAAATAATACAAAATATTACCTGTTAAGCAACAGTGCTTGAAGTGAGGTATTATTATTATTATTATTGTTATTATTATTATTATTGTTATCATTATTAAAAAATCATAAACCTGCAGTGTTTCTTGTTCCCTCCAATATTTATATTTATATTTATATTTATTCTGATCTCCTAACTTTAATTGAACTTTTATTTTTGGAGTGAATGAGTGTTTGTGTATTTTATGTATTTATATAGTTATATTTTAATTATTATATTTTAGATCTATAATTTTATTTTTTGTTTACATTTTAAATGTATAAATTTACATGTATTTATTTATTTATTTATGTTAATTTAATTTTTTTATATTTATTCAAAGCCTTTATTTGTCGCTCCGTTTGCTAAACTGCTTCCGGACCGCGACTCCGCTCACATAGAGCAAAAGTCTCCCGCAGTTCATTTATTAAACTCCGCTCTGTTATTCCAGTGACAGTTTTAGCGACATTAATATGATTGATAATTACTAATTAATCTTATTAATTTGTAATATTAAGTTATTTAGTTCTTCTTTATTTTATTTTTTATTTAATCAAGTTAATCGCTAAACCGGAAGTTTCCTCCCGGCGTTGCCTGTGTCGTTCCTTTTCCGGTGGGTGAGCCGCTGCAGTTGCCGCGTGCGACAAAAGAATAAAATAGAAAGATCAAAAAAATAAATTAAAACTTCAGACCGCGATAAAAACACCGATACGCGGTAAAGCTGTAATCGCGATGGCGTTCGAGCAGATGAGAGCGAATGTGGGGAAACTGCTGCGAGGAATCGACAGGTAAACAGAAAAACATCAAATAAATAAAAACAATAAAATTCAGCAAAAACAAAACATCGATCCGAAAAATACCGCGATCCGAACCGCCCGCGCGGATCTGAGGAGCTGATCTGGAGTCTGAAAGTCAGAGGCAGCTCAGTGACTCGGATCTGCTGTGTGGTGTTATAACGGTGTGTTAAGCTGTATTATTAAAGAAGTCTGTTGTTCACGTGTTTATAACGCGTTATGGCGGTGTGTCAGAGGTGTGGACTGACTGAGCTGATGGACTAAGATGTTACCCTACAGAACCGCAGTGGAACGTCTTAGAACCTCCAGCATCTGCGGGCTGGATAGAGGCTTCTTGTTTGAATTGTCCGTTCCACCTTAAATGGTGCAGCAGTTAGTTTAGCTAACGTTACAGTCCGGCGGCAGAATCTACCAGCTGCACCATTTAAGGTGGAACGGACAATTCGAATTAGAAACTGAAGAATTAGGAAATTAATGTTAGTAATTAAAATGGAACCGAGGAAAAAGTGAAATACTCACCGAAATACTGGAGTAGAAGTGAAAGTATCTGAAAATACTGCATCAGAACGTTACTGAAGTACCTGGAGCTGCACTGAATAACGTTACTGTACTGTTTGCTGTATTTGCAGGTATAATCCAGAGAATCTGGCCACGCTGGAGCGATATGTGGAAACACAGGCGAGGGAGAACGCCTACGACCTGGAGGCCAATTTAGCAGTGCTGAAGCTGTAAGTTTCAGGTGTTCGGAGAGCTTTTCAGTGGTAATGTTCACGAGCACACCAGCAGCTCCACGATAGGCCACGTCTTGATTGGATGATGATCAGATCACAGTGATCAGACGTTAATGCAGAGTGTAAACAGAGACTTGGGGCTTACATGGCCGGTCGCTTTAGTCCCGTAATCACAGGATCCCACCGTTCCTCCGTCAGCCGCTCAGTGGAAATACGTTCACGGTTTTTGGACCATGAAGCGAAGAAGTAAACTGTTATATCGTCTTCTAGGTCCGTTACTTTCTTATCCAGCTGATTTTGCCAGAATCTGCCTTTTCCAGACTTTCCAGAAGGACAGTGATGGATGTGAAAGCTGGCGCTCGCTGTTTACGGTTTAGGTGCTCTGGGCTGTAAAAGTCATGAAATAACAGCTTCTGCACCCAAACAGGGCCTTATGTGTCTGATAGATTGATATCCAGTATAGTGCGCTATATGGGGAACAGGGAGCCGTTTGAGGTTGAGCCGTGTTTTTGTTTTCTCCTTTTTACACCTTCTTATATCGGTAGAGTTGCAGCAGCTCTG